TGGTGACACGGGCGCCATCCTTCCCCCGGCATCTGCTGTTCCCTGCGCCTCGCGAGCTGCTGCGCGAGCAGATTTTCCTGCGCTCTAACCTAATTCCCCTTGGCCGTAGGATAAGCTGCTCCGCTGCCGGAGGCTTTGTCCTTGCCGCACCTTAAAGAGCTGGTTTTCAGTTTTCCTGCAGCCCCCCTGGCAGCGCGCGCACTCACGCGGGATGCCGCTGTCGTTGCAGGGCTGTCTGCACTCAGAGAGCATCCTCACGGCGTCGCCCAAAATGCTGCTGCCCTCGTCCGCGCAGCTGCCCGACGTGGGCACGCCGCTCTCGGCCCACCACCAGATGCAGCTCCTGCAGCAGCTCCTGCAGCAGCAGCAGCAGCAGACACAAGTGGCCGTGGCGCAGGTTGCCCCCCCGCCATGTCCCGAGGCGAGGCGGGTCCGGGGAGAAGCCGCCAGGGCAAGGGACGGGAAGGGATGGGGGAAAAACAAAAGTTGCTCTTGCTTGGGCAGAGCTTATAAAGAGTTCCTGCCCCAGCGGGCCTGGTTTTGCATCTTAGGTAGTCCCCGTCTTCGTGTCACCTGCAGGTCACTTCAGCCCGTTGCTTCCTGCTTCCTGATAAAACCTGTGAAGTGGGTAGGGCTGTTTCTGGTCTGGGTGGTGGGGTAACAGCTGCTGGCCTCCTTCCCCTTCCTGCAGTGGCTGACACCTCCCCTGGACCTTTGCCCATCCCAGCATGGTTCTAGTCCCGAGGGCTGTTACTTAGTTACTCCGCAGCCCGTTCAGTGTGCGCCACGGCGGTCTTGTACCCGTCTAATTTATTAGTGAAAAAGTTGTTCTCTATGATGTCAAATGCCTTTGAGATGACTGAACACATTACATCAACACCTTCCTCAATAGCACTTGTTATCTCCTCTCCAAAGCACTGAGTCAGTTTGTCTCTGAACACACGATGATTGGCACGGGCTTTATTCGCTGCTAACAAAGCCCGTAGATCCGCTGTGTTGTCCCGGACCTCAGCCATGCTGGTGGGTCTATAGCTTACCTCGGCCTGGAATTGCTTGGCTGGGAATTAAATGTCATGTAGTTCCCTCTCGCTGACCAGAGAGACCCGACAGCCGCGAGGTGCTTCCCGACACCCGTGCGGGGTTGCATGTGGAGGGGGCGGGTGTCCGGGCGGCCGGCCCCGTCGCGCTGGGCTCACGGGCACGCTCCTCTCCCGCAGGTTCACTTGCTGAAGGACCAGCTGGCCGCCGAGGCCGCCGCGCGCTTGGAGGCCCAGGCTCGCGTGCACCAGCTCTTGCTCCAGAACAAGGACCTGCTGCAGCACATCTCGCTCCTGGTGAAGCAGGTGCAGGAGCTGGAGCTGAAGCTCACGGGGAACAGCACCAGTAAGGGCTCCTTCCTGCTCCGCTCCCCTCGCAGCCGGCAGAGCCGCGGCGCCGCGGCCGCCTCCTCAGCTGTGCCCTTCTCTTGCAGCGGGG